ATCCCAGTTTAGTAACTGACACCTTCTCCTCTCTTCAGTGTATTCAAACTACTTTACAATCCACCATTTTTCTGACTACCATACCTTTTGTCCATTGATCATTGGGTCAAATATAAGTTCTATCCCAAAACATCAGATTTCCTTTATAATGCTAAACAACTCTCTTGCTTTCGCAGACCTCTAACTCCTTCACTACAGATAGGATAGTCCAGGCTATTGATGTGGGTGAAACTCCTTGATCCTCAGGAAGAAGGCAGGATTAGTAATACAAGCTTAACATTTTGACTTCTTTTGGCAGGACAGGCAAAGTATCATATTGTCATATTCATTTACTGCTGAAACCACACATCTAAAATTGAGGAAACAATCCTGGATTTTAGGATATTCAGAATGTCTACTCCATGTATGACAAATATAAAATGAGAGCTGTCAATTCAACACAGCAGTCAAAGCTTACTGCCTGAAGTGTGGAAATGGAAATAATTGTATCTTTTTGAATTCTCTCTGACCAGGTTTAGAAGGGAAAGCAAGTGGCTACTTTAAACATTAACATAAGTAAGCAAAAGGAAGCAGCAAAGGGGTAACCAGTACAAGAAAGCTTCAAAGAAAATGCATTCTTTCTCTAGTGTCTCTGTAGAAACAGTCTAGCCTAAATGAAACATCGAATGCAAATTCCATACTTGCCAGCAGATACCAAAGGGAATACTGGTCATTTTGTGCAATTGTGTATAATACAGCACATACAGGTGGGCAAACAAAACTATCCCTATGTGTGTGCATTTAGGCAACGTTTGTTTATTAAGCACACAAGTTACACTGTCTCATATTACTCCAGCTCAGAAACATCTGAAGGCTTTGCTAGCAGTTTTGTAGAAAACAAGGGTGATAAATGCATGGTTATTTTGCCCAAGAACAACAAAGTTATCAGTAAAGGAATCCTCAGCTTCTTTTTAATGAGACCTATGAAACCTCTTGTTTAATTTTAACAGCAACTCCACCTATCCCTGCAAATAGTTAGCCCTAGCAGGTTCAGGCAAACAAGAATTACAGCCAACTCTTCATACCTGTATGTTTAAACATTTGGTCTTTTGGACTTCCCATAGTATAGTGATTAGAGACAATTTGTGACAAATCCACACCCAGTTTTCATTAGCATAACACCTGTAAAGGTTCAATTCTCTGCACATCAAATGATACAAAATAAAAAGAACATTTTTGCACCGACAGTCCCAATGTTGCCACATGGAAACCCCTACTGGTAAGTAAACCATTTCAAAGCAGTGGACAGCCCAGTATACAAAGACCAGTAACACTGACAGTTGTCATAAGATGAAAAGTCTGCAAACCTTTCCAGATACAAAGAGGCAAGATGGGAGACCAAAAACGACACAAATGACGGAGAGAGACAAGACAGTAAATGAAGGAGGGCATGGGGGATAACACCACAAACATGGGGGATAACAAAAAGCTGAAGAGAATAACTTTTTATTCTCCCAAATCCTCCCCAACCATCACCCATGCTGACCTAAGTATTTTTACGTGGATATCACTATCAGACATACAGGCACAGCATGAAAAACATTAACAACTATGTTTGCAGTACTACTTCACAATCCCAATTAACATACTATCATTTCCTGTGAACTTGGGAATGACTCACAAATCAAGGTTCCTGGGCACTAGAAAGAATGCAAGGAAAGGCCAAAAGTTTCATATCCTTTACACTGTTGGGTTTCTTGTAATTTTAATTGCAAGGAGAGGAGAGTTTTATGTTAGTTAGATCCATGAAGACAGTTAGCAGCTCAAGAATGTAACTGAAACATCTCATCATGACACATTATTTATCTTCATACTACGCTTAAAGCTAAACTAGTAACAGCGGGGAAAAAAAAAGCACACAAGCCCCTTTGCACTTACCGATATATATTCCATGTTGCTACTGGCAAATTAAGGAGAAAGATGAACCAGTGCAATGAAATAAGCATTAATACTGTTACAACAGCATGGCCAATCACCTCAGGGACCACCCACTGTAAAAAGGCAAGAAAAGAAGAGTTATATGCACAAATGTAAATTCCTTTCTGAGAGATCTATATAGAGTTATCATCTGATTTTAATCATGTAAAACTCAGACAGAAAATTCATAGCAGAAGCATGCAATTTCATCACAACGCGGGGAAATTAAGACCTTTGGACAGATTCCACGTAAGCAAGCCAGAAATCAGGCCCTAAGATATTACAACAGAGGTACTTTATCCAAGTATTACAAGAATTTCTAGAGAAGCACAGCAGCTGTTTGAACACAGCTATATTACACAAGCACTTAAGAAAGCGAGTTAAGAAAGTATACAGTGCTCATTTGAAATCACTGCAGAGAACAGTGGATTTAGGAATGAGAGAAGCAGATAATTAAAATCTGCACAGACACAGGACAAACACCCTTAGGCTTGGAACAGACAAGAAAGTTGATCAATATGAAAACTGGCATAGTTAAATTGGGTCAGCCCCTAGCATTAACACATTTTTGGCTTGATAGTATCCTGTAGCATTCTCTCTTACGTTAAGAAAGAAAATACCTTTAAATCAAAGTGAACACCCATGCGGAAAGGTCACACTGATTTAATGAAATCAGTTTTAAGCAGATTTGTTTAAAATAGTACTTTTCCTTCTCACAGTGAAACTCTCTACTGTTCAAGAGAGGTTAGAAATTATACAGGAGCATCAGAGAAAGTTGCTATAAAGATCTGAACAGTCACCAGTGGACAACCTTGGTGTGGCACACCTACAAGAACAAAAGCACAGAACTCAAGAGCTCTGTGAAGAGTTAAGTCTTAGTCCCAGGAATTCAGAGTAGCAGCCCATCTCAGAGTTAGAAGAACAGCCTTTTGTGACTGAATTTGCTCAAAGACGGGTATCGGAAAAAGACAAGCAGACTGAAATAAAGGATACATGCAAAATATCACCACCAGTCAAGGCTATTCAGATATACATTACACCCCTGTTATTTGTGATGTTAAGATGAAGGACTGTTTCTTAAACCACAGTAAATGCAAAGAAGAATAATTTACTTTATTGAGTTTTGAGCAGCATGATCTAGCATTAATGTAGTCACATTCCAAATCTGATAGTGTAATTATCTGGAGTCCAAGATAAGGAAAAATTGTATGGTAACTCAGAATACACAACGCTTTATTTTTATCCAGTAAGTTGGGGAGAGCACTCTGCTCTCAGCGTAGACTGTCTTGTTCTATAGCTGATCTGCCAAAGGCACGTTTCAATTATTTACAACTCATTCCTACTTTAGGGAGAAAGTTAGGCCACGTTTTATCATCAGGCCAAGTGATTTTATGATGTTTTTCCAACGGCAACTGTTGCACAAGTGCTAAAGTTCAGTTCAACACTTAGAACAGACCAGGGAGGCAAACTCGGTATTTTTAGTATCAGAATTATTACTACAGCACTTGAAGCCAGAACTTAAAAGAAAGAAAAAGTTAATGCACTTTTTAAACTCTCCTCACAATAAAGCTAAACAGTGCAGTTTTAAGAAGTGGATCTACTTTTTTTACATTTACAGCAACATTGGATTGATTCATACTTTGCTAGGAAATAAGAGGGTAACATCATTAGCAAATGAACTTTCAGCAACTGAAACATGAAGATTGCAGACAGAAAAGTCCTTTCAAAAAAGGCTGAGGATGCACGTGTGCACACCATCATGCTATGTCCTGTAAAGCTCATACTCCTTTTGTCCAAGGAAAAGAAAAAGCATGAGATTTTTTCCTATCCCTAAAAAAGTCGTCTCATTTTTCAACAAATAACCTATCCTTCTAGGATGAATTTCTTTCAGGTGCTTCTGTACTTCTTTTCTGTTAGGAGAACTGGCTAGATTCTGAAACAGCACCAGGATCTGAAAGAGTTCGAGACCCTGTTCTTTTTTATTCAGAAGAATAAGAAAAGGAAGCCAAATGAGTGAGTGCTTTTACATTCTAACAATGCCAGAGCAGCGAAGACTGCAGGCAAGTTTGTAACAAAGAATATGGAAATTCTGTTTGCCAGGGAACTCTCAGTCTCCCAGCTACCAGCTCACACCTGAAATAAGAGTCAGGTATCCTTACAATTAAAAGGCTATCGCGTGGCCACGTTTTTTGAGGCCTGGGTAGTTTCTGAGGGGGTGAAGCATGCTTCGACACCCCCTCCTCTACACCAACGCCGAGCACACGCTGCTTCTGCCGAGGGACCGTGTATCTTCCGCGGCACCGGCCGCACACGCCCGTGGCAGCCTGCAGCCCCCCCGAGCTCCGCCGCTCGGAGGAACGAACGTATTTCGGGCAC